TCATTTTGTGTATCCATGGTCTCCCGAGGAGTGCGTTATACCTCATGTCACCTTCGATGACATGGAACTTGGTGTCTTGTACGATCCCGACAATGTTTGCTGGCAAGATAATCTCTCCTTTTGTTGTTTTGCTTGCCATGTTGAAGCCATTGAGGACCCGGGATGCATGCACAATCTGATCTTGTAGGCCGAGTTGTTCCACAACCCTTGATTTGATTTTATTCGCAGAGCTACCTGGATCCACTAAAACACTTTTAACTTGAATTTTATTTAAAAGGATAGAGATTACCATGGCATTATTGTGGGGCTGAGATACGCCTTCTGCTTCTTTGTCGCAGAATGATAGGATGTCCTTGGGCACATAGCTCCGAGTCTATTTTTCCCTCGTGATCGACACCTTGGTGCGTTTGAACACAGGTCGTTGAGGGACATCGACTCCTCCAATGATCATGTGGATTACATGTTATGATTCTTCTTGCTCATTTCTCCTCGCATCTCTCTCCTTGAAGTGATTCTTAGCCTGATCACTTAGGAATTCTCGAAGGTGGCCCTCGTTGAACAACCGAGCCACTTCTTATCTTAGCTGCCTGCAATCTTCTATTCTATGACCATGTGTGACATGATACTTGCACATCAAGTTCGGGTTCCTTTGAGAAGGATCGGTCTGTATAGGCTTGGGCCACTTGGTGTCTTTAATTCTTTCGATAGCTGAGACAATCCCCGACGCACCTATGCTGAAGTTGTACTCTGATAATCGAGGAGCCTCGGTGGGGTCGGCACGCTTATCGAATCCGCTCTTACTCGTATGTCCCCGAGAGCTTTGGCCTCGATCGTTTTTCCGATCTTTCTGAGGAGCATTCCAACCCGAGCCGTTGTTCATTCGATCGACATACAGCAGATACCATTCTTTGTTGAATCTTGATTCCCGATCTATGTCCCTCGGGGGCTTGGTTGCGAATCTGTTAGGATGAACTGAACCCGAGGGGGCTCCCAACTGGTCATCATCAACCCTAATTTTTGACTGGTAATGATTGTGCACATCTGACCATGTCACGGCTGGATACTCAATCAAGTTTTATTTTAACTACCAAGACGCGATCGAGCTTCTTTCATTCAAACCCTGCATGAAAGCTTGTACTGCCCAGTCATTGGAGACTGGTGGTAATTCCATTCTTTCCATCTGAAACCTGGACACGAACTCCCTTAACATCTCGTCGTTCCTTTGTTTTATTTTGAAGACATACGACTTTCTCGTGGCCACCTTTATGGCCCCGACGTGTGCTTTCACAAAGGCATCTGCTAACGAGCTAACATAGTTAGGAGCTAAGTTGTGATACCAAATCATAGCTCCTTTTGACAGTGTTTCTCCAAACTTGTTTAACAAGACTGATTCGACCTCATCGTCATTCAAATCATTTCCTTTGATTCCACAAGTGTATGAAGTAATATGCTCGTTGGGGTCAATAGTTCTATTATATTTGGGTATATCGGGCATGCAAAATTTTTTGAAAATGGGAATCGGAGCCGCACTCTAAGGGAATGGTTTTTGTATGAATTTTTTAGCGTCTAAACCTTTCAAAACTAGAGGTGCCCCTGGTATCTGGTCTACACGAGAGTTATAGGTCTCCACCTTTTTATCATTGATTTTAATTTTCTTTCCCGGGAGTCGATCCTCGTGGTTAGTCTTCGAGCATCCTCAAAATCGTGGGGTCAGTCTCCCCCATCTCCTATTCCATGTGTTCTTTGGACACCGGGTCGAGCTTCCATGTGTATATTTCCTTTGGGATCCGTGCCTAGATCTGCATTCAAAGCGATGTACGAACTAACATCAACTAGTTCCACATCTGGCACTTCCCCTGGGTTTATCGGTGGTACACTGACCCCTGCGTTACTGTTTACTCCAAGACCTTCATTATCATGAATGGGTGCATTTTGTGAGCTAGACATGTTTCATCCTGAGAATCAAAAAACCTTGACAAGAAAAAACGTAAAAATAATGTGTGTAATGAGAATCAGTAAAGAAATAATCACTATTATATTTAGCCTCACGGTGGGCGCCAAACTGTTTACCTCGAAAATACGAGTAACAATTAAATTTGATTTGCTCTTTTAAAGATATGTGATTTAGTTCAATACCAATTAATAATCAAGAAGTATGAAGTAGAAATGAAAGAGACAAGTGAATCAAACCAACGTTACTCAGCAGTAGTGCTCTCGTGCTCAGTGACCTTGAGGTAGGCTTAGAATAATAAGAATAATTAAGCAATAAATGTAAAATAAGAACAGTAGAGCTAAAGGACAATGCTGATGAACGGTAGGCAAAAAGATAGAGAGTATATTCTTTGCTCAATCATAAGATGATGTTACAAATGATTGGGGCCCCCTTTATATAATAGGGGGCAAAAAGGTATATTTCTATTTACAGTGAGGAATATTCTTGGTACAACTGTCTAACCGCCTAGTACGGAATCGTACAATCTTGTTCCGGGATTTGCGCCATGATTTGGGGACGTGACAGGAATCTAGCTCACTCTGTTACAAACCCATAATGGTACTATTTCGGGGTCGAGCACACTTGGCCTCGGTATTCCTCGAACTGCTATCTCCGGGCATTGCACTCTGTCTTCGAGCTCGAGTGTGGTTCACCGGTTTCAAACTCGACCTTGCCCGGACTCGGGCCTAGGACGGAACCTCGAGCCTATAAATCGGAGGCATATGATTTTGACTGTATAAACCATCATCATCATCATCATCATTATTATTATTATTATTATTATTATTATTATTATTATTATTATTATTATTATTATTATTATTATTATTATTGTTTCAGAGTTAAAGTTTAGAGCATTAGTAGTATTTATGACAACATACAATATTTATTTTGGTTGCCTTTCTGAAAAATAAATAAATAAAAATCGTTAAGTACTTAACGTCTATATCAATAGAACAAAGCATTGCAAACTTTGTCCGCAAAACAGCCGTTTTGAACGTATATCTTATTTTATTTCTTGGTCAGAGAAACGAACATTTAGAATTTTGAATTCGACACATGCATATGTTCACGCCCAACTCTAGTACTAAAAAAAAAAAAATTACTGCAAATATAATCCGGTCTAAGAGTTCAGAATCAAATCTCACAGAAAATTAAAGTTTTAACTACAATTCTGTCTTATCACTAAGAAGACAAGTTTAAACCTTTTTTTTGGTAAGAGGGGAAACCCGCAGCCGCTACAACCTCTGTCACAGCCTCTACCCTTCGGGTGAGCACTCTGTGGTGAACACTTTATGCACACTAGGTATAAATTATAAAGATTGAGATTTTATTTTTAACTTGTTATTCAATCTGTATTAATATAATGAATAACGAAACAACAAACTTTCTAAAACAGAAAAAAAACAGTTTCAGAAAGTTAGCAGCAACAGAATGTCGAATTAATTTCTGGAAAAATAATTTCGGAATAAATCGAGCCCACTAAATGCACAATGTGTCCTTAAAGAAATTATTCCCTTCAAGTACCCGAGGTGCTGAAATATTATCCTCCTGGGATAGAACAATTTAACTCACCAGTGTATTGGTACCAAAAACTCTGATGAACTGCAAACCACTCAATGATTGTTAAACACACTGAAAAATTTTGTGCAGAAGAAGAAGAAGATTATAAAATTTTGTAAGGAAAGATTCTGGGATTCAAAGCATATTTATAGCCTTTGTGGCACTGCTTCTGAAAAGGTTTGCAACCTTTCAAAAACAGCCATGGATGTTAGAACAGGTGAGAATATTTCTGTTTGAAATATTGCGGGAAAACGGATATAAAAATAATCCGGGAAAGAAACGGACTGGACCGGGTCGTGTCACGGGTCTTGGGTTATTCCGGGTTGAATCTTCGTTAATTAATTAAATAATTGAAAGAAATTTTATCCAGAAATATTAATCAATCAATCGTTGACCAGATCCGAAACTGAAGCCGAGCAAGAGACGACGACGACGCGAGGCTTACTTTCTTTCCAACCCATTTAACACTGAGAGAAGTGTTTTCTCAATATAAGCATATTCACTTTTTTTCCACTACCAATGAGGGACACTTTGCTCTTTCTAAAGCAAAAGGGAGCTCACTTTTCCTCCACATTCTTCCTTCCATTTCTCATTCACCAATCTTTAAACCCAACAACTAATTAACTAATAAATACTAGAAATCACTCAAATTATCAGCTAATGAGAATGCAACAACAACAATAACAACCACAAGTTTTCACTGGTGGGATCTGGGAAGAGTAGAGTGTATGCAGACCTTACCCCTATCCGGGAGAGTAGGGAGTGTTTCTAAAAGACCCTCGGCTCAAGAAGATAAAAAGAGACAATATATTGATACCTGAACCATAGGCAGCTAATGAGAATGAAGTTGGAGAAAGGGTTAAGGAGGTCCAGAGTTATGATTTTCCTAATTATGAGACATATTTTATAAGTGAAGTATGGTTGTATTCCCTAACCCCTACCTTTTTAAAGTATTTGACAATGAAAAAGAATAGAGGAAATTCAAATTGTAACTATGAAGTTTGATTAAACTTTGGTAAAACAATATTTAGGTGTTTTTTCAATCGTATTTGAACCAATGTGTACATGACGTTATTTTGAAAGTGATTTAAAACTGTTTAATATAGTGTTGGTTGGTAAAAGGAAAATCTATTCCCAAAGATATTAACGAAAGATAGATAACAAAGTCTGCAAATTGAATAGTGTTCTAATAAAAAATTTAAATATTAAAATTGACGATAATATAAAGTATTGGCTTAAATAAGTCATTTTTGAGCTAGAATTAAGATATTTATAAAAGAAATAAGGTACATTCAGACATCTCTATAATTGCATCTCCATATAACAATTATTTATCATAAACACCAAAATTTTTTGGAACCGAGTTTTATATTATGTTATAATATATGTTCTTTATAACAGTGCTTCACTATTGTGCCAAAAAATATCGGAACAAATAAGGCTGTCATAGAGAGGTTTGACGATATATTGTTCCGAAATTAAGAAAAGCTGGTTATTTACATAATTACATCCAATTAACAGGAGGCAATATGAAAGACAAAAAACATAACAAAAAAAAAGGAGAGATTTAGATACTACAGTAATATCTCTAGAACCAACTTAAAGGTACTCTTTCACCTCTTCAGCGGACCTACCCGACGCAAATTCGAATTAGCCAGGTCAACGGGCTTCACATACTAAATGGTTAAAAAAAAAAAAACTTAAAGGTTACTTATTCCTTGCTACATACACTTGTAGATACAGTAGTTTAACTAGCCAAAGTAGTTGGTTCACAACCATCATGCACACAAGCTAAGACATCTTTATAATCTCTTGAGATTGTAAAAGAATCATACACTTTACCATCTCTGCTCTTCTTGTACTCAAAGAGAAGGGAAGACTGGTTAAATGCTGTAAGTTTGACAAATCCATAGTCATAATCTTTGAACACACTCCATGTGGTGTTGATGGTGGTGAATTGATTCAAATGGCTTCCTCCTCCACCAACAACAACATGAATTGTTCCGTTCACTACGCCTGAGTAGTGTGACGTCTCCTTGTTCACACATTGATTCTGCCCATACAACAATTTGACAACAATGAATGAGTGATTTTCAAACATCTAAATGAAATAACACTATCAATTCCACTATTGTCGCAAATTCTAGTTCTTTCACTTTGAAAGGATTGAACTGGATGTGCATGTTTAGTCGGAAAAGGATTATGGTTTCAACAAAAAATCCAAGAATTTTTTTAACTAGAGGTGGCTATCCAAACTCGTTATTCAGATATCGTTAACGTTAAAACTAGCAATATGAAGAAATAATGATGTGTTCTACACATGAAATACTAAAATCATGAAAACAAGTACAAGTACATGAACTGCAGCGTTGACAGATACAATACAACTGCATAGAAATGCAACAAGGAGAAAAGGAGATCAAATTCTAGTATATCTACTATGAAGAGAAGACCAAAAGGAGTAGTGAGTTTTTGCCACTAATTGAATTATATTAAATATAAGAAAAACATGTAATATCAAGTAGAGTCGAAATCAGTAAATAAAAGGGTAGCCCGGTGCACAGAGCATTCCGCGTTCACGCAGGGTCCGGATAAGGGTCGGATCCCAAAAAAGTGTGATGTAGGCAGCCTACCCTGATGCAAGCGTCAATGACTGATTCCACGGCTTGAACTCGTAACCTATGGATCACACGGAGACAACTTAATCGTTGCTCCAAGACTCTCCTTTGGTCGAAATCAGTAAATATTGCGAAAAAGAGCAAAAACTAGGCAAATTCTGCATGTAAGACATTTGCCTGAATAAATCATAGTTCTATAATACCCAATTTATGTGTAGAAATATAATTGCATACCTGGTAAATTGGGCAAACTCTTTCATAGTTATGGACATGTCCAAAGAATGCCATATCAACCTTATATTTTTGCCAGAGTTTTTGTAAGTGCTCCCTGCCCATAGGCTCTTCAAATGAGCCTTCCTTAGCATACCAATCATTGGAAGAGTAACCAAGAACACGATGAGCGGAGAAAATCAACCACGGTTGTTTGTGTCTATTCGCTGATGCAAAGCATTCCTCAATGAACTTGTATTGTTCAGATCCCTCTCTCCAGTCATGTTCAGTGTCTCCTATGCAGAAGTGGAACATGCCATAATCGGCTGCATACCTGTCAACAAGATACACACTCCGTGTGAAAATCGACACGTTGATTAAATTAAACTGCAAAAATAACAACAAATCCAATGTGGTCCCACAGATGGGGTCTAGGGAGGGTAGCGTGTATGCAAAACTTACCCCGACCTTATGAAGGTAGAGAGGCTGTTTCTGATATACCCTCGGCTCAAGAAAAATATGTAAAGAGAAGAAAAAACAAGGGAAAGCAACATGGCGCACTAGTTAAATGAAGGCAGCCGTCTTCTCAAGGACTACTCAAGAATTTTAACTTGTTAATAGAATAAGTCAATTCGGCGATGAATCCATAGAATACCCAAATTGAAGTTAAAGTAGTAATGTGCTGGTAAGGCAAGTCCATCCGGTATCCTGTTCTAGTGCTAGCTGATACAATACTGAATCATCCATTGCAAATATTTATCATTCTCCTCTGCCTTCCAAATTCCAATGATGGCATATCGGATTTAATATAGAAGCAAAATCTACAATATATGGTGAAGAAAATGATGTTTCTTAAATATGCAAAGGATATGTTTCAGACTTCTTAGCAGTGTTGTCAAAGGCGACAAGCATAGGAAAGCACCAAGGTCTATCCGAGCTTTAAGCACAAAATGTAACAAAAGTGAGTATTTTATTACAGAAAGGATTATATCAAGAATATGAATCGCATACCAGAACTTAGCTCTGTTTTCTGCTGGAACGTAGTATAATGTTTCGGCTGGTACACCACATTCTCCACCTGAGTCCAGACCAGTGTATAATGATCCGCTGTTCTCCCAAGTTCTTTCATGATTACCACTGCAAAACAAATTTTCGTCGTAGACACTTAGAATAACAAGAACTATATGAAATACAATATCAAATAATTAAAAGCAGACCATCTGCATTCACAAAGGAATTCTTGACGATGAACACACCTTGCAATCATGAAAGGTACTTTCGACGTTATTGGTTCCACCTGGGCTGTAAATTGGTCCCATTGTGAGATATAGCCATTTGCATAGGGGAGATCTCCAATAAGGAAAACTATATCAATGTTATCAAGGTCCTTAATAAGGGTGTCTGTTGTCATAAGTGAGCCGGGCTGATAATTAGCATATTCATTTGAACCATCGCGCTCTTGCTGAAACAACAAAAAAAATTAAAAAAAATTGTTATCAATCTAATGTACACGAAGTATTTTTAAAGGTTTAAAGTTGAATGATCATAAGCCAAGTACAAGGAAGCTTGGTAATTTAGACTTGGATGCTAATGCAAGAAGTGAAATAATTAGATGCTAGTGCAAGAATCCTCTCTAAGTAAATGCAAGTCTTTTCAGTTACAATGCTCCGGTCAGTCTTTTCTCTTTTGTTTGATAGGACCAACTTATTTTTCATAGTAAACAAACATTTGAATTTTGGATGGCATATTAACATTAATTCTATGTTTGATGCACACGTCTCATCCTCCCATAAAATCAGACATAGTACAGCTATATGATTTCGTTTTCCTTCTTTTTCGTTGATCTGGAAACTGACCATGATGATTTTATGCGTGTATGCTGTTTCATATATCGGAAAACCACATTCTTCAAGATTTGGAAAAGAAAATAAAATAGATTTGCATTGTATTACAAGAACAGGTAATAATAGTAGATTACCTTCCCCATATCTCCAAATATCACAACACGTTGCAGTGACTCTTGTCCTGGAAATGGAGGAGATTTAAATGAATATTCCTTGCTCCAAACAATCGAACCATTGTTTAACAAGTGAGCCAACTTGTATGTGTACCTGAAATTTCACAAATTAAGAGCTCAAAAAGGGATGTATATCTCAACGATGAAGTAACTTTTCGCTAGAGAAATCGGCCACTAGAAAAACTTACACCATGTTTGGCCACAAATCTTTCAGGAAACTAGTATGTATGAATCCAGGATCACGCCATCCCACACTTCTAGCAGGCGTTCCTACAAACGCATTCATAACATTATTCAGTATGAAAAAGCAAAATGAATGCATAATACTAAATCAATTCGAATTTCACCCTCTCCTACTCTATCTTCAACTTCAGTCAGAATACATGAATAAGAGAAGGAGAGTAAAATACACATGAAAAGTGAACATCAGGCATGCCTTTTTCAACTGATTAAAACAGTTGTTGAATAACAGTCCACATACCACACATGCTGTTCCGATGAAATGTCAGTGTCCCTGCTGGGGAGCGTTGTTGAGCTTGGCCCTTCCAACCCCATTCGACGAATGGAACAGCCTCGTCTATGTTGTAACCACTTGTCCATGTAAGGGTCATCTAAAAAGGAAAAAAAAAAAGCCACAAGTTAATCTCAAGATTTGATGCGACCACTGGATATGATGCTTAACAACTTAACATGAATCTCCAATTTGCAGGCTGCAGCGAGAAAAATGGCAGCCCGGTGCACTAAGCTCCTGCTATGCACGGGGATCGGGGAAGGCCCGGAGCAGTGACAAAGCGGAAGCTCTAACAAGGGGATTCAAAATAATGAATCAAGTTAACATGTTCTCCAATTTAAGGAGTTGATAAATCAATTACCTTGACACACTACTACATTCAATAATTGTTACTGAAGGCCCTGTAATAACGGATAATAATGGACATGCATATCTTAATGAAAAAAAATATGCTGAAAAAATCATAGCACGATAAAACTTACTATATCCCATGACTTCCCAAGAGCAAGACGCGGATAAAGAGGCGCTTTTGGATTGGCAAACGCGATGTGATTTGAGATGGCTATCAACTTAGGCTGTAACATACATATGAATCTATTAGTTCAAATCCAAGTCTCAAGAAAGTTTCTTTAAAATATAGCACAAATAAAAACTATAATGATCATTGTCATGAAGTAAAATGTCCTACAAAGCTCAAGTACTTACCCTAACTTGGAGAAGCTGAACTGCTGAAGTGATTAATTTAGACAACACCAGTTTGAGTTTCATTGCTAATTTCCAATTTATAAAAATTCTCAATTAGTTCAAGTTACTTGTCAACTAACACACTTGATTATAACCAAAACAAGAGAAAATACCTTTCGTAACTATACTTTCGGATTTATAAGGTTAAAGTTAATATACAAAAGTTTCAACTAAATCATTCACATATCCAACACATTATACACAACTTGATATCTCATTCTTCAGTAAGGTTTCCTAATTTCAAATGGATTTAAGTTATATACTCTGATGATATGGGTGTTTTAGCGCTTGCTACTAAGGAGAACTTCATTCTCGGGATTCAAACCGAGACCTCGAGTTAAGAGTGGAAAACCTTTACCATCACACCACATCGAAATGAGAGCATAAGTACATTGAGAAATTCAAATGCCAACACACACAATAACAAAATCAATATCAGCAACAACAACCACCACAACAAAAAAAACCCAGTATAATCCCATTGGGGTATGGGGAGTATAGTATGTACGCAAACCTTACCCCTACCAAGAAAGTGGAGAGACTGTTTCCGATACACCCTCGGCTCGAGAAACAAAAATCAGTATCAGCAAAGAAAATATATATATAATTTGCAAAATATGGAAAAACACTTGCATTAGACAAACCACCAGAGAAGAAGGCAAATGAGAAATCCCCACGCTGGTTAATTAGCCTGAACTTAAGTGAAGTTTTCCCAGTCTTTGTGTAATTGACATTGTTGTAATTTGCAAATTTGAACTGTAAAAAAGAAAAGAAAAAGTATAAATCAAGATAATTGGAAGTCCATTAATTAATATGGAAATATAAGTTGTTAGACATACCTTTAAGGGGGCAGTACATAAAAATGGAGCACCAAATTGTTGTTCATCAATTGTTACTGGGTCACAAATTGATTCACTGCAGTTGAACCATTTACTAATTGTTAGATTTACTAATTGTTGGTTTTGCACAATTGCTCCGTCCTTGTGTTGGTGTTAATCATCTATTTGATTTTGAATACAGTAAGGGGATCTACTGTCAGCATCTATTTGATTTTGAATTTCATCTCAAATTAAAGCTTAGTGTTAAATAGTTGGGCTTGGTTTTAATCTTTACCTTATCGCTGTTGAAAAGTGTTTTCATTTTCTTTTGGTGTTGAAAAGTATTTTCCTCGAAATCGAATTTTAACGTTTAAAAACGTACGTCAGACCGTTACTGTTGCCGGCGAACCCTCCGGCAACGGCGACCAGGTAAGTGACCCCGACCCTCCCCCCTCTCTCTCCTCTCTCTCTCTCCTCCCTCTCTTTTCGTTTTTTTTCCCACCTTTTCTTCTTCTCCTCCCTCTTAACCCTAGAAGCAGCCATTTTTTCCGGTGACTTGTCCCCGCGCCGGCGTCTTCTGTTTAGTCCGGTTGCAGCCCAACCCCCTCCCATGTTCTTCTTTTCTCCTCTTTCTTCTTTTCTTCTTCTTTCACAGCCCGCTGTGTCTCTGCAGCGCCGGTGTTCTCCGGCGACGTCAGACCGGTCCGGCGGCAGCCCTGTATTCCTTTATTTTTCTTGGTCCCGTGGTGTATTTTGTGTGTTGCAGGTAGCATTTTTGTGGCCCTTTGGTGGCGGGAGGGAAGTGCACGCGCAAAGCGCAAAAGCAGTAAACCATTCCAGCTGGCAGGAACAAGAGCAGTGCGTCGGGTTTCTCAGCGTACGGTATACACCAAGTCGAAAGTCTCGGTTAGGGACTGTGCCTATTAGCAGTGAGCGGGACATGCGTGTGCCGATGAAAGGAACAACCTCGATAAGGGTCAACAAAGGTCGGCAAGAATTGGATGCGAACGTGCTAGGTGGACGCAACATCGTCATATATATCAAGACAATCCCCAGGTTCTACTCGTGGGAATTGGTATCTCCCCTTATTCATTTTCTTTTATTGTGTTAGTTAAATTATTGCAATCTTTGTTCCTATTTGT